CGCTTCTCCAGTTTGAAAGTACCTCTGCTTTCCCGTCTTCTCTCCTTACATGGCTGTCTCTTCCCACCTCCCACGGAGGGATGAGTTAGGCTGGAAGCCGGCGCCGACTCGGGTCCCCGTGCAGAGCCCTCGGTAAGCCAAGGTTGGTATCTCCTACCCTGCCCTGCTTGGGGGGACGCGAGCTTCCCCTCCCCGCTAGGCCGGATGCTCCGGGATGCCGGCGCCGCTGGCTTGTTGCCTCTGAGGGAAGGTGGCGGCTGGGCCCGGCTGAAGTTTTGCATCCCATCGAGCTCGGGTGCTGGGTACTGTCACTGCGAGCCCTCCTGCCCGGTCGACAGCCAAGGTGAGCTGCCTAGGAGAAGGAGGAGATCCTATGTACTAGCAGGGCTGCCATGGGGCCTTCGGGCATTTTACTGCCCCAAATTGTGTCTGCGGATAAAGTAATGCAGCATCCCCATAGGCAGAAGCATGGTCCAGTGCTGCTCAGGCTGTGGGTCATGATCAGGTCTCAGCTGAGCACTGGGGAGGTGGGGGCGCTGGGAATTCGGTTTCTCTGATGCTCCTTGTCACTTAGTCCTTAAATACCACAAGTACTTTCCTGGAAGACCAAGGTTTTACTCACCCCGGATGAGGGCAGGCAGTTTGGCGCAGAAATGGGTGTGCTTTTGCAGGGCCAGGGGCTCGTGGCACAGGAGCGCTAGCTGCTGCTTCTTGCCAGGGCCTGGACCCCTTCTCTCTCTTGAAGAGTGTTGACGCTGCTGCTATCTGCTGCTCACAGGTGGGTTTTTGCTCTCTAAGTTAATACCAGGTTTTACTGGACTTCTTTCGAAAGACTGGAACTTTTCAGTGAGCAAAACCCCTGTGATGCTCTCTAGTAGGGCCGGGCAGCGCCTCTGGTGTAGGTCGTTCGGCTCCAGGGTGCTTTTATTCCGTGGTTTGGTAGGCAGTTCAGCCAAGGCATTGCTTTAATGCTGCTTTTATCTTCACAGAACACTGCACATGGTACCTGCGGTTTCTGTGTTTTGTATGCAGATAGGATAAAGTTGAGGGCTAAACCCTTCCCTAAGCTCTTTGCCTTCTCCTAGTCCACAAGTGCTGCCCAGAGAGGGGGAAACCTCTTCCATGCAGCCTTTGGGTGATGCAGTGGGAGGAACAGAACTGCGTCACAGGGGTGTGTCGGCTGGGGTGAAATCACATTGGGATTTGCCTTGATACCTGTAAAGTCTTACTCGGTAGCTTCTCGATTGCACAGCATTTGGTGTACCTCAGCATGTGCAGAGAGGCCAATGTGCCACCAGCAGGGCTGGGAAGTCCAGTGACTGACAGCATGCGGGGTGACGGCTGGGCTGACTGGGACCTGTGCTGCCCCTCCCGAGCAGAGCCCGATGCCTTCCAGGCTGAGCACGCCCTTCATGCAGCAGCAAGGGGGACTCCGGTTCTGGTTAGCTCCCCCCCACTGGCTCCCTGGTAGCTTTGCAGGGATGCAGGAGAGTTTTTGACATGAGCCACAGGGGAGGATGACTAGAGAGCTGCCCGTCCTTCCTCTGAGACCTGACATGAGCTGTCTTCTTCCTTGCAGAAAGAGCTGCTCCTGGGCTGCCTCCCTCACCCTTCCCAAATGTGAGCACATAGCAGCCAGCGCGAAGGGCCTCCTCTTGTCTTCAAGGCACTTGCTTCTGCTTCCTGTTCTTCTGTCCAAAACAGAAAAAGCCAAACCAAACCAGGCCACAAAGAATTTGTGCTGATCTAAGGAAAAGGCTGTGGAATCACCTCTTTGTCTCCCTAGATCCTGGCTGTGGGCTGGATTTTCTGTCCTTGACTCCAGGGGATCAGCTACGGGGAATCGGGATCTTGGATACGTTTTGATTTTTGTTTTTACTTGAACCTTTTCAACCGAGAAGCTGAAGCTGTCACTGCTAAAATCCCGTTTTTTTTTCCCAAGCATGTCAGAAAGCTGGCAGCAGCAACAGCAGCAACCACAGCAGACACCACCACCGCAGCAGCACCACACTGGGGCAGCCGCCCTCTCCGAGCACTCCATCCCACCCAGCACTGCTGACAACCCCTTGGGCTGTGCGGTCTACGGTATCCTGCTCCAGCCAGATCCTGGTCTGCAGCACCACCAGCACGCCCCCATCCAGGCTGGGGAGCCGTCCCACAAATGCGGGGTGTGTGGCCACGACCTCGCTCACCTCTCCAACCCCCATGAGCACCAGTGCTTGCCAGGCCATGACCGCTCTTTCCAGTGTACCCAGTGCCTGAAGATCTTCCACCAGGCCACCGACCTCCTCGAACACCAGTGCATCCAGGTGGAGCAGAAGCCCTTTGTGTGCGGCGTCTGCAAGATGGGCTTCTCCCTCCTGACCTCACTGGCACAGCACCACAATGTCCACAACGGCAACGCCATGAAGTGCTCTATCTGTGAGAAGACCTACAAGCCTCCTGAGGCAGAGCATCCGCAGCCTCTTGACCCCTCGGAGAAGCCTTACAGCTGCTCCATCTGTCAGAAAACCTTCAAGCACCTCTCGGAGCTGTCCCGGCATGAGCGCATCCACACGGGTGAGAAGCCCTACAAGTGCACGCTGTGCGACAAGAGCTTCAGCCAGTCGTCCCACCTGGTGCACCACAAACGGACGCACAGCTCGGAGCGGCCCTACAAGTGCACGGTGTGCGAGAAGACCTTCAAGCACCGCTCCCACCTGGTGCGCCACATGTACGCGCACTCAGGGGAGCACCTCTTCAAGTGCAACGTCTGTGAGCTGCACTTCAAGGAGTCGTCGGAGCTGCTGCAGCACCCCTGCACGCCCAGCGGGGAACGGCCCTTCCGCTGCGGCGAGTGCCAGAAGGCCTTCAAGCGGCCCTCGGACCTGCGGCAGCACGAGCGCACGCACAGCGAGGAGCGGCCCTTCAAGTGCGACCTCTGCCAGATGAGCTTCAAGCAGCAGTATGCGCTCATGCGCCATCGCCGCACGCACAAGGCCGAGGAGCCCTTCAAGTGCAACCTGTGTGAGAAGGGCTTCGTGCAGCCCTCGCACTTGGTGTACCACCAGCACGTGCACGGCATCGAAAACCTCTTCAAGTGCAACGTGTGCCAGAAGGGCTTCAACCAGTCCTCAGAGCTGCTGCGGCACAAGTGTGTGCAGAACGCGGAGCGGCCCTTCAAGTGCGCGGTGTGCAACAAGTCCTATAAGCGGGCCTCGGCTCTGCAGAAGCACCAGCTGGCCCATTGCGCTGAGAAGCCGCTCAAGTGCACGCTCTGCGAGAGACGTTTCTTCTCCTCCTCCGAGTTCGTGCAGCACCGCTGTGACCCAGCCCGTGAGAAGCCCCTCAAGTGCCCTGACTGTGAAAAGCGGTTCAAGTACGCCTCGGACCTGCAGCGCCACCGGCGTGTGCACACAGGCGAGAAGCCCTACAAGTGCCACTCCTGCGAGAAGGCCTTCAAGCAGCGCGAGCACCTCAACAAGCACCACAGTGTGCATGCCCGGGAGCAGCAGTACAAGTGCATGTGGTGCGGGGAACGGTTCCTGGACTTGGGCCTGCTGCAGGAGCACAGCGTCCAGCACACGGCCGAGGGCGCCTACCAGGTGGCAGCCTGCTTGCCGTGAGCCCCCTGCCCCTTGGCGGCTTTCAGCTTGCATGCAACGCTCCTGAGCCTCGGCCTCCCTTCCCTCTCTTAGGGTGTAGACGGCCTCCAGGGAGTTTGGGGGAAAGGGGAGGTACCAGTGGGCGGGTGAACTTCCCTCTGGCCTCTCTGGTTGATGTGATATGCCACCAGTACTAATATGCCACCTGTACCGATACACCACTGATACTGCAGGGGTGAGGGATGAGGTGAAAAGCTGGAAGGGGTGGAGAGGAAAGGAGGGAGGTGGGGAGAGGACACGAAGCCTGTAGCTGCCTGGCATCCCCTGGCCTGCAGTTCACTCTGTACCTGCAGTCCCAGCGCTGGGAGCTTGGCTGCCCGCTGCGGGCACCAGCCCTTCGAACGCAGCCTCTTTGCCCTGCCCTGCCTGGCAGGGTCGGCGGGGAGGGCTGGGTAGGTCCTTCTGGGGAGGGCTCAGCAGTAAGGCAGAGCCAGCGCTCTCTCCCCCTGGGGCACGCAGTTTGGCAAAGAAGTAGCAGGTTTCCGCTGCTGGGATCTCCCAACTTTCTTGGTCTGAGCTCAGTTGAGAGGACCACTTCAGATCGTTAGTGTTGATTGACTGCCCCAACCTCCCCTGCTCTCCCTCTTTCTAGAGTGTAGAAAGGGAAAAGCCATGGGGCTGCAGAGCTCCAACAAGCACTTTGGCGTTGCTGCTTTTGCAGTTGTTGGCTGTCACACTCTGCAAGGGTTCCAAGCGAGCCTGCCTGCCCCCCTGCCTGCTGGCGGTGTGGGGAAGAGAGGCAAGCGCTGCGCCACTACCGGAGAGTGTGGCGAGGAGAGCCACCGTGCCCAAGAGGCTCCTACCCAAGAGCTGCTTCCTGAGGGTCATAGCTCTCCTGCCAAGACTTGCCTCCAGCCCCCAAGCCCCTTCCCTCTTCCCAGCCGCCTGGGCTGTTCACATACCTCCAGGGGGGCTGGTAAAGGGCCCTCTCAGCAGTCTGAACACTAAAGGGCGAGGCAAGCACTACTAATAGCCCACAACTTTGGAGACGTTACCATCACCTGCGGTAACCCATGCCATGTGCCAGGGGCTTGGGGTCTGATTTGCTGGGGGGAACCATAGCAAGGCAGGAGAGCCCTTCCTGGCCCGCAGGCTCAGCTCCATGGGGAGGGGAAGGTCAGCAGTGGGTGGAGGGGACTGCATTTTTTCCCCTCTTGCAGGAGTCCTGTTTTACCCCTTTACTCTTTCTTTACCTCTTCTTTATTTTTCAGGTTTTGCACAGTTCTTGAAAACATCACTTAAAAATAAATTTCCCTTAGCAAGGTCGATGCAGCCTCAGGTGTTTTCCTCTGCAGGATTTTGCTGGCTTCTCGTGACTGAGACCTGTTACATGCCAGTCAGATGCCTTGGAGGTTGAAGGTGTGCTTACTAGGTTGCCCACCAGCCTTCCCCTCTCTGTCTTTGGGGATATTGAGATGTTAAATATCCATCTGTGGAGCTATCCAGGCCCAGACTGGACATGGTCCTGGCCAGTCTGCTGTTGCTGACCCTGCTCGAGCAGGGGGCTGAACTAGATGATCTCCAGAGGTCCCTGCCAGCCTCCGCTCTTCTGTGGTCTTGGCTGGCCCTCCTATGAAGTAGGGGTGTTGTGACGAGCTGTAGGGAGTGAGTAGCAGCCACTGAGTTGCCCCTGTGCTGCACAGGTGATTAAGACAAGTTTAATAAACGTTGTCCAGGGCAAGCGTAGGACAGGCTAATGGAGTTGGGCTGTGCCTGCTTTGCTGGTAGGGAATGCTCATCTCAAAGGTGGAGGAGGGCTCTCGTTTCTGTTTCCAGCATGGTGAGGGGGAACATGGAGCGTTTTGGGGGGCTGGGACAGCTCAGTGACAGTTCTGGCCCTGGGGCTGAGTCCTTCATGTGCAGCTTTAAGGAGGTTAAAGCAGACCTTGCTCCCTGCTGCCAAGGAAGAGGGACCGATGGTTGTCTTACTTCATGCTGCCTCAGAGATGTAGAACTTCCTACCGAATTTTCTGTCTGTTTCTTTTTCCTTTTTTTCTTTTTATTTTTGCTTTTTTTAAAGCAGTTTGTTAATATTCATTAAAAATACTGTATAGTTTAACTTGCTGTTGTACTGGATCTTTTAAAAAAAAGAGATGTGATAACTTGGATTTTTAAAGAGCTCTTTGGTTCTAGGTAGCTGGTTTTTGCTGTTTAATATATAGCGAGTTCAGTGTATGCTTTACTGTAGGAGTAAAAACGAGGAGTAAAATCAAGTAAGGCTGATCCTGTCTTTACAGAAAGACTTCGTGGTGATGGAGGCTGCGAGCCTGGGAGCAGGGCCAGCCAGGTAGCGCAACACCCACCTGAGCCCTCGCCCCATGCCTGCTTTGGGCTGTGGTTAGCTCTGCTCTTGCCCAAAGCAGCCCAGCGTAGCTGCTCAGGTCTCCCCAGGCTGGGGGTGCCGCAGCTGCCTTGAGCATGGCATGGGCAGCCAGGATCAGTGCCCGGAGCTGGGAGCTTGCAGAGAGGCTCATCGTTAGTAAGAGGAGGGCGTGAAATGGAGGCTGCTGGAACCCCTGGGGGCTTTTGTGGCTGTTTCTTCCTGGGGCAGCTGCTGGCTGGAGGAGGGCTCTGCAGAAATCGTTAGTGTGGCCCCACATGATGGTGCCCTGCTCTGTTCCCTCCCTGGGGGCCTGGGCCAGCCTGGGGTGCCTGGGGAGGAGGGCTGCGGTGGGCCCCAGAAACAGCTTTGCACCACGCACTGGCCACGGAGCTGCTAGGTCTTGTCCCCTTAGTACCAGCAGGGTACCAGCCCCCACAGGGGCTGTTGCAGAGCGTTTCCCTGGTGCTGAGTGGCTGGGAAAGCCCTCAGTGTCCCAGTGAGGATGTGGAAACAGCCAAGCAGCACCTGGGGCAGGCAGACCATCATCAGGGCTGTGTGCTCGGGGACTTGTGCCTGGGGCAGAGGGGGTGCTGTGGGGAGCTCAGTGGGGACGAGCCTGGGTCCAGGTGTCAGGCCTGTGAGTAGGCACCTACCATGAAGTAGGACTGGCCGTGGGCCTGTGCGGACTCCTTGGTCTCTCCATCTTGCTGCCCTGCAACAGCCCAAATTCGGTGGAAGCCCACAGCGGGTGGAGGACCTGTGCGGAGAGGGCAGCTGGGCGGCTGCAGGGAGCCTCGGGTGTGTTTTTGTA